ACTGAATACTTTTGGCAATATAGTGTATGTGTGTGTGGAGACTCCAGATCTGTCTACTGGTCATCTGCAGAGCTTTAGAAGCTTCCACTAACACTCTTAACTGAAGCTTCTCTATTCATGCACTTCACTGTCAAACTCTGAAAAGCCCCTTTTGGGGGACACATGTTTTTTTCAGCAAGGTATTTTCTATTTCTACTTCAGTACGTTTGGAGATTTGGAGAAAAAATGAACTTGCAGTCAGACATTTCTGCAGTGCAGCAAAGTGAGAAGCTCATTAAAGCAGGTGTGTAAAGTCTCAGATTATACAAGTGTGGCTCCAGTGCAACTCCAATTTAATGGATATTTAGTTGAATGTTACTTAAGGATATTCTATGCTGGAGTGGATCGTTCACTGAGCTGATAGTTTGGTGTTCAAACAATGCAGTTTCATTAGATATCATAATTAGTAGAGCGTCCATTTTCCACAAAGCGCTGTGGGTTGTTTTGTCCACATAACAGTCTCTGAAGGTGAGTTTGTTTCAACAGGTCCTCCTTCATTAATACTGAGATAATCACTAATCACTCATTACTAATGTCGTCCTCTATAAACTCATCCTACTCATATCAGCATGATGAGATTAGATTCAAAGACTCAGCACTGAAAACTGGACCTGGGTACTGGGGAGGTGTTTGTTCGTGGCTCATTTACTGATAAGTCTTTAATAAAGTAAATGTGAGTGGTCATTTTGGATGGGTCAGTGATTAAAGCGGGAAGTCTAGAGCCGCTGGACCTGATTGTGCTGCTGCTACAGCTCAACACTGCCTCAGATTTATCTCATACTGTATCTCATCAGATTGATAATGTTCACCTTTAGCTACTGCTTTCTGATTGCTGCTCTTCGCTGTTTCTTTCTCAGCTCTGTTCAAATATGTTTCTGCCATATCTGTAAATATCATTCTGCAGGCAGATTTGGAGCAGGACTTTTTTAAATATTGTTTTTATTACGTGTAAATAAATTTGTTTTTGCTGAGTGTGCAGGATTATTAAGGGTGCCAGAGCTGTTTATCAGTAAAATCTGAATGCTTGTGGTTGAATGTTTAAACTCTGTGTACATTTTGTATTAAAATAATTGTATATCTGTATATTTTATATCTGTATAAGTGTGTTTTATCTGTATGAACTTTAATCTGATTTCCGTAGTTCTGTGCTGTGTTTTATGAGACTAAGGTAAACAGTGTAGGGCCCAAAACTGTAAACCCAAATGCATTAAAAAGTGCCCTAATTTGGCAGCTTACAACAGCAAGCAGAATGTAAATTAAGTGTTGGGTTGAATTATAATTAATATTTAATATATAACATAAAGTAAATAGTTTCTAAACTGTAGGAGCCAAAATTGTAAAACCAAATGCATTAAAGAGGTTAATAATTCTTATTATTGCAACCAACGACAGCAAGCCAAATTTGAATGGACTTTAGGGCTTAATTTTAATTAATTTGTTAAACATCAAAAATTTAATAACGTCTTAACTGCAGGGCCTAGCATTTTAAAACCAAATACATAAATACATCATCTAAACCGCTTATCCTTCTGGGTCACGGTGGGGTGCTGGAGCCTATCCCAGCTGTCACTGGGCAGAAGGCAGGATACACCCTGGACAGGTCGCCAGTCCATCGCAGGGCAGACAGACAGACATACACAGTTACACACTCACTCACACCTAGGGGCAATTCAGCATGTCTGCATGTTTTTGGACTGTGGGAGGAAACCAGAGTACCCAGAGGAAACCCACGCAGACACGGGGAGAACAGGCAAACTCCACACAGACAGTAAACACTGCAAGCGAGACGAGAATTCTTAAATTCTTTTTCATTAATAAAAAAAAGCAACAGCTTCTTTACTGAAGGGCCTAAATTTGTCAAACCAAATGCACTGAAGAGAATCTTAATATTATAACTAACTACAGCATGTAGAATTTAAACTGTGTTGTACTGAATTGAATGTTGTACTACACCATACACTTCCTTCAGTCTAGTCTTCAGGGGTCTAAGTACAGTCTCAGTAATGTTTGGGGGTGGGGGTGGGGGGTACTGTGTGTTGTGTAGGTGGTGTGGTTTACATCATGACTGGTTTGTTCCTCCACACTTCACTCTGCTCTTCCAGCATTGGCTGCTCTCTTTCTCTTCTGTTTGTCTTGTTTCAGCAGCTCAGTTGCTTTTAATATTTAAGCAATGAAAATAATTCCTCCTGTTAACCATGCTGTACTGAAAGTTTCCTGCAGATCAAATAATAAACAAACTGTAAAGTGTGTGCAGATCATTTGGTTAGTGTCCCTTATCAGGGTCAGTTTGGGACAGTAATGTAAGAATGTACAGAAAGGATTATTGATAATGAGGACTCGTCATAGAGCTGCACTATATGGAGGGAATGTCCTGTGTGTTAATAAAGTCATAACAGAATTGCAGAATAATAAAGATGTTTTAAATATCTGAGTTATCAGATCCTCATCAGACACATCTGAGTCTTATTAACCTCTTAATGATCCTGTTAAAGAAATCAGAAATGTATGTCACTCAGCTGACATTAACATTTTCCAAAAACAAGATCTTGTTTTCAGTTTATTTGAAAAGCATAATCTATACATAAATACAAACATTTGTTTTCCATGACAAAATATACAGACATTCTGGTTCTCTAATGGACACAGTCAGTACACACTGTTGTTGTGTTCTGTTTGTAAACACACCTGAGTCAGGTCATCATTACAGCCTCCATCACCTGACCGAGAACTGATTACAGCAGAACTGAACAACAGTGTAAAGTGAAAACTCCAAGACTTCATCAGTGTAAGAATTCACACCACACAGTGTCTACATTAAAGTACAAAATAACAATAACAAATATACTTTAAATAATTCTGAGTAAATAAAGAGTCTTTCAGATGTTACAGATTTGTAAAGAATAACATATGAATCCTCTTCCTTTGTCACACTAAAGTAAAACGTTCCAGAGCTGTTAGCAGATTCATATTTACAGATAATCAGATAATCAGATTCAGGAGAAACTTCATTAGACCAATCACACCACAAGCTGCTTTATGGAACTTATGTTGTATTTAAACTGGTTGAAACATTTACATCTGCATCTTTTTAAAGCTTTTCCTGCTAAAGCTTTTCTTCTCCTCCTCTTCTTTGACAATCTGTAAGTGTTTGGTAACTGAGGAGACACTGCTGTAGTTTTGAAAGTGAAATGTTTTCTTATTCTTGTGTGATACAGTATTTCAGGTTTTATAATGTGCCAAATGTTATCAGCAGTGACAGATCTGGACTGCAGGCAGGTCACTTTGGCACCTGGACTCTTTTAATATGAAGCAATGCTGCTGTAATGCATGCAGAATGTGGTTTGACATTGTCTTGCTGAGAAAGACATCGTCTGAATGGCAGCATATGTTGCCAAAACGTAAATATTGTTCAACATTAATGGTGCCTTCACAGATGTGCACGTCACCCATGCCATGTGCACTAATGCACCCTTATACCATCATGTTGGCTGTGCTGATAACAAGCTGAGTGGTCTTTAGCCCGGAGGACACAGTGTCCATGATTCCAAACAGAATCTAAACTTTGCTTTATCAGACCACAGGGACACTTTTACACTCAGTCCATCTAAAATGAGCTCAGGCCCAGAGAAGGTGGCAGTGTTTCTGGGTCCTGTTTATATTTGGTTTCTTCTTTGCGTTTTAGAGTTTTAACTTGCATTTGTGGAAACAGTGATGAACTGTTTTCACAGACAGTGGTTTTCAGAAGTGTTTCTGAGCCCATGCAGTGATTTCCGTTACAGAATCATGTCTATTTTTAATGCAGTGCTGCCTGTGGCCCCGAAGATTATGACCAACCTGTATTGGTTTCGGCCTTATACCATACATACAGAGATTTCTCCAGGTACTCTGAATCTTTTAATGGTTTTATGTGTAAATGAAGAATTCCCCAGGTTCTTTGCTATTTTACATTGAGAAACGTTATTCTTGATTGTTCCACTATTTGATCCCACTATTGAACCCCTCCTTATGTTTACATCTAAAACCTTTTACACCCAATCATGATACAGACCTGTTGCCAATAATCTAATTGTTTGTGAGATGTTCCACCAGGTGTTTTGTTTAGCATTACACAACTTTAACAGTCTTTTGTTGCCCCGTCTTAACTTTTTGAAACATGGCTTCAAATTCAAAATGGGCATATTTAAATATCTGAAATGCTGTCCTTGTTTGCACAGCATTGCAACTTTTTGGAAATGGGGGGGCTCCGGGGTTTAAGACCAACACAGCTTAGTCTAGCATATGCCTGGGTGCAAAGTGCTTTTGAGAGGCTGACCAAAAGTGACCAAAAAGCTAAGAATTTAAGTTAGTCTGATTTTAAATACTCTCCTACTCACCGCTCACCACTGACTCACTACAGTCTCAGAAAAACCTGCTGAGGGTCGCCAGCATGAGCCGGACCCCAGAACAGGATTTTATGCTGCTTGCTATGATAATAATTGTTTAACAATTGTTTTTTCTTTATCTTGCAGTATACTGACATTAATAACAATAATAATAAAGGTAACACTAAATAACGATAAGACAACTATTTAATCATCTTAAGATTCTTTCCTGTTATAGCATATTTTACTATTTGAGAATTTTCTTTAGAATATTCTAAAACATAAATAATTACAGCCCTGGTTATTATAATACATTTTAGCAGAGCGTGTTGATATTTTATATTGACATTCTTCCCAGCCTCACTATATAATCTCTATAGTCACTCCACACTGATACTCAATCAACCAACCACCACACACACACACACACACACACACACACACACACACACACAGAGAGAGAGAGAGAGAGAGAGAGAGAGAGAGAGAGAGAGAGAGATGAGAGAGAGAGAGAGAGAGGAGTGTGGGGGGGGACGTTGATTATGATTATCTCTCAGACTTCCTGGACAGTATTGGAGAATGACCGTCTCTTTTTTCTTCTTTTTTCTTTCTGTTACCTTTATTCTTCTCCCGGAGCTGCTGATTTTCTCTCCTCAGCTGCACATTCTTCACCACTAACATCACAATCACAGCTACATGTGCAGTAACCACCAGTGCAAATACCCACCCTTTCTGAACTGTAGTACTCGAGGCTGAGGAGAGACACAATCACAAAGAATTTAAATCTGACACCATATATAGAAATCAGTGGAGTTCTGTGAGTCACAGTGAGTGAAGGAAACAGATGGACACTGACGCTCAATCTGAAGCTTCACTCTTATTGGCTATGAAATCGGCTATTTTACAGTGACAAACTTGATCTTTAATTTTTCTTACAATAAAAATCTCTAATAGAAACTTTTTCTCGTTTGCTGCTCCTTTAATCTCTTTTTCTTTATTCCCTCTTTCAGTGTCTGAATCAGCTGATCCTCCAGTGAAGGTGAATCTTCATGACTCTGCTACTCTGCCCTGCTCTGAGAGATGCTCTGGTTTGGTCAAATGGTCTGTGTTCAGTAAACCCACTGATGTTCTGGCTGAGTGTGATCAGACTTCATGTAGATTAAAGGAGGGATATCAGACGATCTATGGTCAGTACCTGAAGGGAGACACTATCAGTGTCAGTGATGGTGAGAGAGAGAGAGAGAGATCTCCCTCCAGGTACTGACCATCTCAGAGCACGGCAGAGTAGCAGAGTCATGAAGATTCACCCTCACTGTAGGATCAGCTGATTCAGACACTGAAAGAGAGAATGAAGGAGCAGCAAATGAGAGATAAAGTTTTTATTAGAGATTTTTATTGTAAGAAAAACAAAAAGGCCGATTTCAAATGATGTAATTCTTTCTCAGTTCTTTAAAACCTATGAGAAATTTCCTGATCCTGAGAGATCCAGGCATTTTTAATCCATTTGTATCAGATGTGTTAAACTTGATCCAGTTCAGATCATTTGTAAAGTGTATTTTACTCCATTGTGCTCTGCTTGTTGTAAAGGTGACAGACAGAGCCAGACGCTCACAGACAAGTCTAGAGTTAAGAGCTTTAATGCCAAAAGGATGATCCAAAACCACAGTCATAAAACAGAGTCGAAAACCAGAGATCCAAAACTGAGCTAAGGTGCGCACGACAAGGTGACGGTACTTCACAAACTGAAGGCACAAACAGATTGGTTAAAAACACAGGTGAACAGGTGAAGTCAGGAGTTGCTGAGTCAGAATTCACCAGGAGAGAGATGAATGACTGACCCTCTCTTTCAGAGTCACACTGGTGAATTCTTGGCAAAGCATCAGCTTTTGAATTATGTGAACCAGGAGGATAAGAGGCACTGAATTGAAGAAGGGACCAGCAAGCCTGTTGAGGTTTAAACACTTAGCGGAATGGAGGTATTCTAATTCTTATGATTGGTTAGACTAGGAAAGGATGAGCAGCTCCCTCTAACTAATGTCTCCATCCCTCAAATGTGAGCTTAACAGCCAAGAGCTCATGGTCACCGGTTCAGGATGCTTACATAAAAACCCCTTCTGCTTTCCCTAAACTGCACTGACTGGTATGAAAAATGATGCACCAACCACAAAAGTGATTGTGATGCATATAGACGATCATAGATATACATACCTTGATGCTGGGTTGGGTCCAGCCAGTGCTGCAATTTTGGGAAGGTCAACATCGCTGCTGGTCTGCATTAAGAACAATTACAGAGTGGCAATTTAAGAAAGATACTGACCAAAATGACATGGATATCAATAGTGCACTCAGAAAGCAGGATAGGAACGCAGTGATCCACGCTCATGTTTGTGTGATATTCAGGTGTAGATATGGCCGTGTGGTTAATGAGGCTCAGAGAACCTGTTGATGTGACTGTTGTTCCTCTGGTTTCATGTTAAGCTTATTTCATTAGCCTACAGGGGATCTTAACTTGATGTAGCATTATATTCATTTATTTACAGTAACTTAAAGCTGAGTGAGCATTGTAGGTAATTCATAGCATTCCCTAATCCGTATATTCAATATAGATTAGCACCTTCTTACAAGGAACTGAAGTCAGTTTGTTATTCGTTAGATACTTGTTCCAATTTTCCCGTTCCACCTTAAATGGTGCAGCAGCTACATTCTGGAAACATGAGGCTGCACCATTTAAGGTGGAACAGGGAAATTGGAACAAGAAGCTGATGAACAGGAAGCCAACTTCAGCCTCATCCATTCACTGGCTACCACAGTCTGATCAAAAGCTAGTGCTGAAAGGACGAATATCAAAAATAGATCTTTATAAATATAAATAAAAACAGGAAGTTCTGCTCCATGATGACACCAGAACCATGACCAGTTCAGTACAGGTAGAGTAACACCATTAACACTATTTAGCACTAACTCTAATGTTAAACTAACCCCTGAAGCTGCAGAGTGGGCAGCGCTCTGTATCTGAAACAGACAGCAGTGCTCAGCACTCTGCTAGATAAAGATAAGAAAAGCAGACTCGTCCAGCGTCTCCACAAACTCACAAACACGTTTAAAACACGTTACTGCAGTTTGAGTACTCACCTTTCTCTCTGACTGGAACGGTGCTTCTCATAAAGACCTCACTGATCTCCAGTAACACCACACAGTCCCTCACGAGAGATTCTGTTCTCTCTTTCTGTAACTCCGTTTTCTGTTTGTGAGTCTGTTTTCACAGATCAGCTTCACCGTCGTCTACATCCTTCCAGACCCTGCAGAGTCCAGCGAGTCAGCGACCCTCCCTTATATTCAAACCGATAAGATTCTTTGGTGTTTCTTGGTTTTGATTGGTCAGTTTTTATTTGATACAGTACTGTATACTGTAGAATAAGAGAATTACCAGCAGAATATAAAATAGAACTGAAATACACAAGTATAAAACAAATATATAAAAACAGACACGTGTCTGAGGTAAATACTAATCTAATAATAATAATAATAATAATAACAACCTTCAAACACATTTCAATTTTGTAAAGATGTTCATCACTTTAGATGCTTTTACAATAAATATATTTAAATTTCATATTAAAACGTCTTCAAATATGCTAAGATTCTATTTGTAAATTTGATTTTATGAACAAAATATTCACACAGAAAAAGTCTTTAGTAATGTAAAAAGTAATAAAACAAACAATCACAACTTTCCATCCTTAACCTCTTATTCTCCAGGGTATATTTTGGTTTGTCCATCTGAGTTTACATGACCAAATATTAAGGCAAATTATTCAGTAACTGCATGAAATAAATGTAAATTTTTATTGTATTATTTTTTTTCTAAAAGATCCCTCAAATTAACAGAACATGTGTTTTATGATACACATATTGCTATATGCTCACAATTTACTGCTGAAATCCAAAAATCTTAGACGCTCTTCGTATTATTTTATAAAAATAATGTTTACAGAGCAGATCACTGAAGAGACGCCATCTGTTTATAGTTTACAGCCCAGATTTGTGGAAAAATGGGTCGACTTTCAGTAGAAAAAAAAAACAGAGTTCATCTTCTTTTATTATAAGGGTTTAAAATTACATCACCATCTATTTGACTGGAAAGAAGACAGTTACAGCCTCATACGACCCCCACCTTTAGAATGTAGCTTATGAAATATGAAAGTTATGAAGAATATGACTAAGTGCGTTTTGGAACCACCGGTGGTCTCAAGGAGTTGAAAAGATTAATATACTGTGATTTGTCTGTCCATTATCCTTCACTACATCATTCTGAAAATTCCTGAAACGGACACAGTTGGAGAAAACGTGTTCAGTACATTCACTGTTTTCACCACAGAAGTAATAAGGAGGACACAGACTAGAAGAGTAGAGAGAGGCTGAGAGGGCTGACCTGCTTCCACTGAGATCGACCCACCAGCCCCAAACAGCAGACCACTCCTTACTACTCTTCCCTAAATAAGCTTAAAATGTCCAACTGTGTCACTAAAACACCTTATTAGAGTTAATAACACTGAATCATGAATCAAAGAAAGGCTTGTCTGTGATCTCAAACACACTCATATTACTAATACAGCTTTCAGTAGTTCCCAAACATAAAGAGATTCACACTGGAGACTTAACACTCCACCCAAAATGACATATCAAAAGTAAATAAAACAAACAAATAAACAAAAACAAATAAATGAATAAACCAACACACAGCACTCAATTCTGCACAGCAATGGGTTTAAGCAGCATCAGTGAGGGAAACTGTAAATTGGGTAATGAAAGTGGATTACACAGTAACTCTATCTGTTTACTCTTACAAAGGCTGGAAATCTCACAGACAGACAAGTTCACAGCTGTAGTTTGGAGTCAGCTGTATGTTTATTGAAGCAAACTCAGAATTACTGACCTTTGAGGCAGAAGACGAGCAGGTTTTTAAACCATTAGAGCATTTAAGCCAATAACACCATCCAAAACTCAAAAAACCAAAGTCCAGAGCAAAGAGTGAAACCAGGGAAGCAGAACAGCAGTAATAACACTCAGAACTACTCGGCATGATCAGTACAAACAACGCTGAGGTCTAAATGTACACAAAACTAGATCAGCAATGAGAAACAGCTGATAGAACTTAGTGTTCTGGTGAGAGCGACCTCTGTAGGCGCAGAGGGGAACCACTTGCAGTGGATGTGACAGTGATAAACACTCCTCAGAAGAGTTTAGTGACTTTATCACAGTAGGAAAAAGGCTGTTCTTAGAGAGGGTTGTCTTAGTTTTGAAAGAGCTGTTCTGTCTCCCAGAAGGAAGTGGTTGGTTTGATGGTTTGCTGGATGAGAAGAATCTGTAATTGTTCTCTTTGATTCCTGAGTGCACCGAGTATAAAGACTCAACTGAAGGAAGACTTACTCCAATTATCTTTGAAGCCTTGAAGTCTTGATTAAGGAAGAAGCAAGTGATGATCGGTGTGTATGTGTGCTAAAGATGTGGAAAGGTGGGCTTCAGGAAATATCTGGATCACAGGAGCAACCTTAAGTGTGACTGCGTTTACTCACAGATCACAGCATGTTAAATAATCTTTGCACCTTATTCCACAACCCCACCTCATGCTCAGAAATGAGTGCTGTGTCGGTGCTGCACTGTCCTGTCTGTTTACTGTGTCTAATGTCTGTTTAATGTATCATATTTACTGTAATGTTTCTAGTCTAATTTTTTGCACACTTGCGTCTGCACCGTGTTGTTCTATGGAGGACCGTAATTTCACTCCACTGTGTGCTTGTACATGGATGGAATGACAATAAAAGCCTCTTGACTTGACTTTCAGCCACAAATATGAGCTTAAAACAACGGACCAGCATTCGCGTCTGCACTCTCTCAGCCCTGCCCACAAAGGCCGCTGATAACTAGAATAAGCGGTTGCTATGATGTGTGGATTGTTTACTGAATGTTTTTAGGGGGTTGCCAATAGCTGCATGTTGTTGAAAATGAATGGGACTCTATGGGAGGTATGAGGGATGAAAAAATGACCCATAGAGGAGTGCAGGTCAGTATGGCTGTGGATTAGAGCTTGGGGACCTTCCCTGAGTGAGGACATGCAGTTTGGTGGGATGAGGAAAAAAAAGACAGTGCAGGTCAGAACAACATTGAATTCATGCTCGGAGGCCTGCCCTGAGGTAGTGTATGCAAAAGTGTCTTTCAGTTGAGCAGAAGTCCAGCAGACATGCAACTTTTACCCCATTCATTCCTATGGGGAAAAAAAAAAACGTAATTTAACTAGGATTGTTCAAAAAGTGAAAGTCGAATTAAAAAGCTGTCTACAGGCACACCATTCCTGATCAGACCGGACATTCCAAAGTTGGAACAGTGTCAATATCTCGAAAACTGCAGGACGAGTTAGTGGACAAAAATCCAGCAGTAAAATAATAACAAGAAGACTATAAATCAGATAACTGGGAGCTGCTTGGTGGAGGGCCAGTGATGCTGCAGGTCAGTAGTGCTGAGTGGACCAGCCTTCCTTAGTCTTTTTCTCCTTCTCTCACTTTCTTTCAAACAAACAAAAAACAAAAAACCATGGGGGAATCAGTGGAGCCTAAAGACCCCCTACAATGACACAGCACCCTCACCCTGTTCCTTATTTTTAATAAACAAAACATTAGGCTTTTCACAGTGGTGTGGACACAGTGTCATTTTTGTTGTTGTAATCTTTAGTGATGGTAAGTAGTTTAGTAGCTGCTCCTGCTGACTTGAGCCAGCGACTTTTTTTCTCCTCTCTGTGTCAGTGGGGAAAACCATTCTTACTCCTTTCTCCGAGCAACTGGAGCATCTCCATGCAGCACAGCAAACCATGGTGGAGACTACATGCAAGGCACCTGATTCAAGTGTTGTCCTTGCATACAGGTGCATATAACACCTGAGACACACCTGGTTCAGCTCATTAGGAAGGCCTGCATGACTGAATTCAGAGTGTTAGATGAGGCTGACCTCCACAGCACTTTCGCCTGGAAGGTCCCCAGTTTGACACGCCTGAGTTAAGTTTCTCATGGCCTCAATATATTAATTAGTGACCTCAATATATTAATTTATGGCCTCAACGTATTACTTTATGGTCATTCACCATGTCACCTTAGGGGCTTCATACCTAATTACATTGCTTCAGTGCAACAAATAACATTTCAGAATTGCATAAAACATTCATACAAAGCCACATTCCAAGAATATGAGACAAATACAGCAATGTAAACTATACAGAATGTTTTATTCGTGTACTTTTACATGAAACATAACAGTACTGTAACAGCAAAACATGCATTAAGACTAGAAGGTCTGAAAGAGGTAAGAAGGCAGTGATGATAACAAAGAGCAGTTGGAGTCTCTACTGTTTATGCAGTACAGAATCCTCAGATAGAAGGAAACAAAACTGTGTAAAACAAATACCAGTTCATGCTTGGACTACATTTAGCCACGCTTATCCACAGCTTTCACTGATCATGGGGCAGTAGGCTGTTGGTGCAGGTTGCTATGGAAACATTTGAAGAAATTTCTTTTCAAGAAACTGGTAAGGTGAGAACCTTAACGCTGAAAGTGCCAGCAGGTGGCGCCAGCTGGTGATCCGAGTGCTTCAGAACAATGAATCATCTGTCGAATCGATTGGTTCAGTTGGTTCAAAGCTTCAGAAAGCCTCGTTTCTTTCATCACTGCTTTCCAGTGTTCTGTCTGCACTGCTGTGGGTATTTTGGGAGCCTGTCTCTGACGTCATGTCTAAAGCCTCCAAGGCTAAACTTTTTCAGTTTTCCTTATAACTTTAAAATAATGGGTGAAAACTGAGTTAGCTGTTCATGTGTGCAGCCACACAGGTCTCCCTAACAGAAAGTGTTCATCAAAATAATATAACAGAACTGTAAAAACTCACACTACATTTACTTTTGGTACTTAAGTACATTTAAGTCTAATTTCATGGTACTTTTACTTGTGTAGTTGTTCTTAGTCCTAGTTTCTGCTTTCTCTCGTAACCTGATGTTGGCAACATTTCACCCAAGAGCAGAATCCAGATAGCAGATATGTGTGACAGCTACATGCCAACAGTCTAGACTTTCCTGTTACAGTCACATTTGTGCCCAGTTACTTTGTGCAAAGTACAACCCAATTTCCAAAAAAGTTTCATCACTTCTTTTAACAGCACTCTGTAAGCATTTAGGAACTGAGGAGACACTGCTGTAGTTTTGAAAGAGAAATGTTTTCCATTCTTGCTTAACATAGGATTTCATCTGCTTATTAGTTA